GAGGTCTTTACCATCCTTTGTCAAGACTTTATTCTCATCACAAGCTTGACTTCATTCTTGCCAACATGACGATGTCCTTGGCTTGGTGACCATTAACCCATGGTGTCATTCATTAGCCTCATCGTAGTGGGACCTATTCCTTTTCACATCTCAAAGGAGAACATTAGTCTCAACAAATCGGTTCTCATCCTTCACTTGATGACCAACCGGTTGCATATGAAAGATATGGATATGTTTGTTGAGTATTCATTAACATCACAAGTGTCATATACTCGTATGCAAGCTCAAGTGCAAAGATCCGATATAAATAATATGTGAACAACATGGATCTAAAACATGCACAATAAATGTATAGGATTTGCTCCCCCTAAGTATATGCATACAAAGAAATATACAAGAGAGACAAGTGTATGCATAAGTAAAGAAGAACCAATGGGGGTTTATCCTATACACATAGAGAAGGCATATGTAGTAATGATGAAGATAAACAAAAAAACACATACCTTCATGATCTCCATGTTCTCAATGTAAAGGAGACTAAATAAGATAAGACTCAAGTAAACATTAGTCTCACACTTATATAACAATAACATGGAAATCATATATATGAACCTATCAAAAAGTAGGAGATAAGAAGTGATACATATCGCTTAATCTCCATGAATTTCATCCTTGTCATGATTAAGGTCCATCACCAAATAATGCATATCTACCACATCTCATTATCGGGAAATAACCTTGTTGAAAACTTATGTAAAAGAGAGGTTAATCCCATAAACATCGGTTTATCATCTATCACCAAAGTAACAATTACACAAATTGTTTAATCCAAGATCTTTCAATCTTTTCTCTCTTTTGTGATAGATAATAATCCGATATAAACAATACAAAGAGATGAGATGAAAGATAATTTCAAATTAAGGTAGAGATCTTATAATGAACAAAATATAGAATAAGCTCCCCCTCAAGATGTGCATACATATAGATATGAAGGAATGCATATGCACATAATCAATCAAGATTAATGAGGGAGCTCACACTATATTTTGGATCCACAAGAGAGACCAAGTTAGAATATGTGAAGTTTAATACATGCCTCCTATCATTTTTACTTTCATATCCAAATAAGACTAGTCAAAGAAAGACTCATAAAAACATTAGTCTCATATAATTAGATTTGTCATTAATCACCGAAACCAAATTAAGGCACTTGAACTTACAGTCGTGCTAGCCCACGGGCTGCACACACGGCCCAGGCATGGCTCAATACGACTCGGGCAGTGCCGGGCTGGCCCGAAGGCACGATAGCCCGTCGTGCTTCTCCACAGAATAAGTCTATTTTTCATCCCTCAACTATGTGGGCTATGTCTATATGGCTGGAAAATAAGTCTATTTTGTATTCCTCTTCGCTTTGGGCCTTGCCTTACATGGTTACTTAAGTCTATTTTCCATCCCTATACTATTTTTATTCGATCGTGTTGTGTCGAGCCGGCCCACCGTGCCGAGGGTGCAGCCCAGGCATAGCTCGACTGTCAAGCCGGGCTGAAAAGGGCACGACCCCAGTCGGGCCATGCCGTGCTTGGGCCAGGCCAAAATGGCGTGCCTTGGGCCTGGCCGCAGACCTCGGGTCATATGGCCATCTATAGCCTCGCAAAGCATATTTAGCAATTTACTCCCTCCGTCCCATAAAAAACTAATCTAGAACTGGATGAGACATATTCTAGTACTATAAATCTTCTTGATCCATTCATTGTTCAGCCTCATCATTATTATTGTACATACTTGGCGTGGAATTTATTCCAAAAACATATTTTCCTCCAATAAGTTTCGGTTTGTGCAGCTTGCGGAGCTCAGTCTCACCATGTGGAAGTGGTGGTGGAATTAATTGTTTTCTTCCAAACAATCTCATTGCCCTATCTAGGTAATGGAACTCTACAACCCAAAAATGGATTGAGAGGTACTGTACTGTAGCAAACCACCAAGTACAACCATTCTGAATTTGGATAGACTTCTCTATAAGACCATCATATAGCTGCCATTGTATAGTACCTTCTCGAATCAAGTCAATTTGGTTTTGGTATTATATATTCAATGCCTGCATAATATTAGTACAGACATATATGCATGAAGAAATGTAATTATATATAACAGTTCAATGCTACAGTACGAATATTTGTAATTACCAATTCAGTAGTTGGCAACCAACTCTAATTACAAATATGATGTAATAGACATATTTTTTTTTAGAAAAATGAATGGCTCAATGTAATTTGGGTGCACAGTAAAGTTGTAAATGAGAATAAAAATTTGGGAGAGTAGCATTTGGGTATGTGCATTTTGGAATGATGGCAAATAGTAAATTATCTCCATAGCGGAGGAGGGAAGGTGCGATTAGGATGTAGTTTAATATAATCTAATATGACGGTTTAGAATATTGGACCAAATTTAAGTAAAAATCAATTGTTGGAGATTTTCCTTTTTCCTGAGAATTTTCAGTATTTTCTCTAATTTGTTATAGCGCCACATGGTGGTTAGAAGCGTTTGTAGGATAACACGAGTCGGCTTAGGAGCGTTTATACGAAGTTTAATGGACTTTTAGCGCATAATAGAAAATATATCTTTTTTTTTGTAATACAGGAGTTAGCTTGCTTGTTTAGCACATTAATAAAATAACATCTCAGTCTTTCTATAATACAAGAGTCATTATCATCAACCAAATCATATCTTTTGTTAAATCAAAATTGAAAGGATAATGCAAGAAATACACTATGGGATGATAGAATATATAAGAACGTTGAAGAGTGGGAGATCCTGGTGGACAGTAGACATCAGGGATGTGGATGGGGCATGGTCCAGCCACAAGTGAGGCGGAAGGGTGACAACACATAGATATACGCATGTGATATAAATAAACTTAATATATTTGATGATATTTTTTTAGAGGAACTGATAATAACTCTATTCAAGCCACATTTCATTCTTACAATCATCCTTAAGGAAGGATAAAACAAAACCCAGGGAAATAGAGACCCAGGTTGTAAAGCAACTAGAAGAAAAACCTTCTTTTACAAGCCTACTCCCTCCGTCCCAAAGAAACTCAACCTAGGAGGGGATGTAATGTCCAGATTCATCTTCTTCTAGGTTGAGTTTTTTTGATAGAGGAAGTATGTGCTACTATACTTACTGAGCACCGAACCGAGATTATCTTCGACTCGTGGAAGACACGTAACCTAGACTTGAGCTCATGGATCCTAGTCCCACAGATAGAGCGGTTTAGTTCTGACTGAGCCACCATCCTCACCACTTCATAGTATCAGTTTCAATTATTACTTTTATCGCTCCTAGCTCAACTGCCAATTCAGTTGTCCTATGGCATGTCATAATTTCCACCATAGTTACATACGCATTACATACAACTATATTTTTTTCAAGAAACATACAACTACAAATTTAATGTACACTTAAAGAGATATAAACATTTATGTTTCTATTCTCCAATACCTATTTTGTTATTTTTGTTTTTTCAAGTGCATATTAAATTTAAACTTGCATGTTTGTACATATTATTCTGCATCACAAACCAGCTAACCAACTTTGATTGAAAAAAAGGAAATCCAGAACTCTTCAAGCCACTAGGAGCATGGTAGGCCCTTCCACCCTTTGTTCCCTACATATATAAAAACTATAGGGAACAATATTTTTTGCATGGACTTTGTATACACTAACAGGAAACAACTAAACAACATGGAACATGGAGATTTCTAGTGGTGAATAATAGATTGGAATAGCTATATTTATGTCGCCATATTTTTCAGAAAAAAATAGTTAAATCATTTTTATACTGTAAATTATTTACACTTACGTAATTACACCGTATAAGTTTCAATATTTTATTTTAATTTTTCAAATATATAATGTATAAGAAAATTAGGATCAAAAGTAATTTATTGTTTACTTAAAAGACTAGCTATGAGATATAGAAATATACTTTTATATATATAGGAGAGAGAAAATCGTACAGGAAAAAAAAGTGACTCAGTGAAAAGTGTGACGCCATAATTTTAACAATCCCGTAATGGATGAAGCATACATAATTAGAAACTCGCATGGGGTACGCCTAATGGGCGATCGATCGCCTGGCGATGGGGGTAGCGACCCCCTCCTCCCTCCCTTCCTCCACCTGGTTTCCTTTTTTGGCACCGTATTACTTTCCTATTTTAGTAAATTTATGCACCTAAAGTTTATACACCTCAAGTTTACACATCTAAAGTTTAGAGACCAAAAGTTTATAAGTCAAAAGTTTATATATCCGATTCAAATTTGAATTTGAATTCAAATATTTTTTTATATATAGTATTTCTATACATCTAAAGTTTATAGACCTAAAGTTTATAAGTCAAAAGTTTATATACCCGTTTCAAATTTGAATTTGAATTCAAATATTTTATATATATAGTATTTCTATACATCTAAAGTTTATACACCAAAAGTTTAATGATCCAAAGTTTATAAGTTAAAAGTTTACATACCCAATTCAAATTTGAATTTGAATTCAATTTTTTTTATATATAGTATTTATATACCTAAATTTTTCTAACTTTTTATTTTTAAAAAAAAAATTGTGGAGATGTGTAAACTTGAGGTGTACAAACTTTAGGTGTATAAATTTACTAAAATAGGAAAGTAATACGGTGCCAAAAAAGGAAACCAGGTGGAGGGAGGGAATCAGAATCTGATCGCCCCTATCGCTAGGTAGCATTCTAATATTTCTTTCATATAAAATGCGTTGATAGTTTTCGACATCCATGTGGATAACATACGTGGAGCGCGTGCTAACAAATGAAACTATATACTCCCTCTGTTTCACAATATAATGTAAGTAATTTTAGAATTTTTCACATTCATATTAATGTTAATGAATCTAAACATATTCATATTGATGTTAATGTCTAGATTCATTAACATCAATATGAATATGAAAAATGCTAAAATGACTTACATTCTGAAACGGAGGAAGTAGCATACATGGAGCGCGTGCTAACAAACGAAATATACCACAAATTACAATATTCATACAAGCAGCACGTTATTACACTGTTACGCATACAAGGACGACACGCAAGACACAGACCGCTTGATGCAAAAGACCACCTACACAGTGCATGCAAACGCACACGTGCCACCCGCAACTACACTGGTGTGCAATTTTAATATATTAAGCAAATTAAAGAGAAGATGGAATGGTTATGGGAGATGATTGTTTGACCAATATTAATGAACAAGATAGGGGATGCCCAAGCCCATGCAGCGATGTGGAACGCCCATGCAGCCATGCAGGCGAGGTGGTGGGGTAGAGCCGTGCATGGATCGAGAGGAGCGGAGAAACAGAGCGGAACACGAGAAGATGACGGGAAACCAGCTTGATCAGAACGACGGCAACTTGACTCAGCGCTGCTTGAGGTAGACGACGCAGCCGTCCCTCGGCACCATGGTCGGCATGTACACCGGCACGTCGCAGCCCTCCGTCCTCTCACGCCGGAAGTCGACGAGGGAGACGAAGAGCGCCATGAAGATGACGAGGTGGTTGAGCGCGTACCGCTGACCGACGCACTGGTGCGGGCCGGCGCCGAACGCGAGGAAGTTGCGCTTGTACACCACGTCCTCCCTCCGCGCCTCCGAGAAGAAGCGCTCCGGGTCGAACGCGTCGGGGTCATGGAACCCCTGAAACGACGACTCGTACATCGACGGGAGCACCAGGGTGCCCTTAGGGATCGTGTACGATTCCGTCAGCTGGAAGTTCTGCAAGGCGATGTGTGGCATCAGCGTCGCCGGTGGGCGGTGCCGGACCACCTCGCGAGCAACAGCCTTTGTGTACTTCATTTCGGCGATCTTATCGGCGGTGATGGGCTCGCCGGAGTCGGGGGACCAGAGGGAGGCCACCTCGGCGCGCACGCGGGCGAGCACGTCCGGGTGGGAGTCCAGCGCGGACACGGCCCAGCAGAGGGAGGAGGTGGACGCGTCCTGCGCCGCGAAGAGGAAGTCGAAGAGGAAGCCCCCGATCTCCTCGTCGTCGGAGATGTGCGCCGGCGGCGGCAGCCCCGCCGCCTTGGCCTCGTCGATCTCCCGCACCGTCTCCTGCATCCAGTAGTCCACGAGGCACTCTGGCTCACCGCCGGCGCGCATCCGCGCCTTGCTCTCCCTCGCGCAATCGCGGAGCATGCGCACCAGCCTCGCCACGGCTTGCCTCGCACGCCGGAACGCGAGCCCCGGCAGGTCAACGGGGAAGGCCAAGAGGCCTACATTGAAGAGATTGTAGTCGCTCTTGAACCTCTCCCTCGCCTCCTCGGTGAGGTACGGCCCCGCGAACACCGTCTGCGAGGTCTCGAGGTTCATGTCGCGGCAGGGCACCCGTATCGGCTCGGCCTTGCCGCCGTTGGCGGCGCTCCGGTCGAGCCACCGCCGGAGGTGGGAGACGATGCCGCGCTGCTGGATGGCGGCGTAGGTGGAGAGCGCGCGCGGCGTGAAGTTGGTCGCCATACGGCGGCGCAGGTCCTTGTGGTCGTCGCCGAACAGGTAGATGAGGTTGTGGTCGCCGAAGAGCTTCTTGCCGAACGGGTGGCCGATGACGAAGAAGGCGTCGGGGCGGACGTTCGCGAAGACGCGGTTGGACAACTCCGAGTCGCGGATGAAGATCGTGAACTTGCCGGCCAGGAAGTCGGCGGTGAACCCAACGCCGGACTTTCTAGCGCGAGCAGCCTGCATTTCCCAGAACCCGGTCGGGTCGCGGATCATGTGCGTGGCGCTGCCGATGAACGGCACGACGAGCGGCGGCCCTGGCAGGGACCCTTTCTTGCGGTGGTAGGACAGCTGCTCGACAAGGACGTACAACGCCACGGCAGCTGCAAGCAATGGCGCCGCCATGCGCAGGTCTAGGAGCCCGTATAGCAGCGAGTCCACCATTTCGCCGGTCCGGCTAGTGCGTGGGGTGCTTTTGGCTCAAAGCTCTCTCTCAAATGGATTGCCCTAGTATTTTTCTCGTCTCTCAACCTAAACTCCCAAAGGGCCTATTTACATGTGTTTCTGGTCTCTCAACATCCATTGCTATTGGAAGATCTGACAGATACGTACATTCAGCGTTGGAAGCAAATAGAAAATCGGGACGCCACTTTGCGTGCCAGTTAGTTTAATAGTACATATGCATATTATTTAGAGTTCATTTAGTACAAAGATTTTTTTATATAATTCTTGCGTGAGTTAGTTATTTTCTGACTACATGAGTTAGATTATTAATTCCTATGGAGAAACGTACTAAAGACGACCGAATCAAAGTAGGATATTAATTTAGGGACTGTCTAAAGATCATTTGACAAAAAACCCCCTTACAAATCTTGCAAATTTTAGACCACCCGATTGCTTTAAGATTCGTGCAGACAACCAAACCCTAAAAATCCTCTCTCCTCTCCCGATTCCTCACGCCGCCGCTCCTCAGTGCTTCCCCCCCCCCGGGCGCCGCCCGGCCTCGCCGGCTGGCCGAAAGGTGTCAACAGTGCCGGCGAGGCCCCCCAGGCTAGCCCCCTCCCCCTCCCCCTCCCTCTCCTCTCCTTTGCCTCAAGCCGACGGCGGCGAGCTGTCCGTCATCTACCCCGTCGCCGGCGGCGGGAAGCCACCACCGGTCGCCTCCTCCTATCACTTTTTCCGCTTTGCCCCCGCCTCCTACACCGGCCCGCCGCTTGCTCCCGACCCCACGGCTTTGGCGGCGGTGCCGCCGCCTCGCCGCCCGCCCGATCAGCCGCCCACCGCCGGGCTGCCACCTCCCATGGCCATCCCTCTAAAGCCGGTGAACTCCCCTCCTTCCCCTCCCCTCCCTCCCCCCCTCCCACCCCCACCTCACCCCGGGACCCTAATTCGTCGGCCCTCTGTCGGAGTTTGGGTTCACCAACGCCGGAGAAGAAGAGGTGATCGCCGGAGTTTGAGAAGAAGAGCACGAATCATGAAGCACATCCAGCATATCCAGTGATCTAAAATTTGCAAGATTTGAGGTTGTATTTTCTGTCAACATAATTTTAGCATTTCCGATTAAGGGCTTACCATCAGTTCTGTTGGTTCTATGCTGTTTAACTTTGACAAATGATTACCGATGCTTTTAGAGGGGAGGGGGGAGTAATATTTCTCAAATTGCAGTGATTTCATAAAAAACCTGAAAGTTTTGCATATTCCTAAAAATCTAGTATAAAATAAATACTCCCTCCGTCCCAAAATATAAGCATTTTTGGACTTCGACACAGTCTTTGAGATGTTATTTTGACCAACAATATCTATAAAAATAAAATATTTTAAATAAAAAGAGTTGCATATTATAATATTTTGATTAATGATAAATCTAATAATATCAATTTTACATGTTTGATTTTATTTCTATTAATTTACAAAGTTAAAAATGGTTGACTTGGCACTATACTAAAAATTCTTATATTTTGGGACGGAGGGAGTATTCCAAAAAGACAGTTTGAGGTGAAACAAAGTTTGGTCCATTGTTTTATACTCCCTTCATTTCAATTTGTTCATCACCTAAGAATTTTAAGGTCTTCCTGAAATAATCATCATTAATAAAGTGTGTATTCTTTTATTTGTGTAAAGTGTAAATGTGCATAGTTGAATGCCCTGCATGCAACCGTATAGATGTAACTAGCCAAGATTAATTTCTCTGGTGCAATCACATGCAACATTCAAACCGTGAATTAATTTATGTTGAATATGAAGCGACGGAGCACCTTGATCAACGAGGATTAATTTCAGAACGTTGAACATTTTGATGCCCTTGATCTCAGCATTGCTTAGGTAATGATCAATTTGGGATGGATGGAATAATATGTATGTCACTTAGTTTTTCTTTTGTTGATTTGTGTTTGGACTTAACATGGATTACTCCCTCCGTCTCAATCGGTAGCAATCTAATCCATCCGTCTCAATCGGTAGCAATCTAGGATGGGTCTCACTCTATAAATCTTATTTCCAGATTCGTAGAGACCTATCCTAGGTTGCTATATATTGGAACGGATGGAGTAGCATATAAGGGTCTCATCTCTCATGGCCTGGGTTGCACAAAAGCTTATTATAAACCGTAACAGCTTATTAGTGAATAAAAAATAGCTTACGCATAAAACTTCTATATACGTGTTCTTAGCGATTTAAAAACCAATGCTGAAAAAGAAACTACATTGACAGTATCTTATAATCATTCAAAATTATGTTTTAAAATTTAAATTTTGGCTTTGACATATTCTGTTTAGGCAACCGGTGGGGCTATAAGTATTTGTCTAAGGATTTTTATTTTAAAAAAAAAACCCACTTCTTTCTTTCTTTTTCTCTTTTTCAACTGTTAAGTTTTACGCTATTTTTAGTTTCTTATTATGCATTCTGCCTGTTTCTGTGCGGGCGAATGAACAGGGGAAGCTAGCACGAATGAACGGGGAAAGCTAGCTGGCGTGTGCGCACCAGCGACGCATACTTTCGCGCATAACTAACTCCTCTAGTTAATGCTAATGATAGTAATTAGAAAAAAATGTGAAGATTTTTTTAACGTAGAAACTCGCATTCATCAACTCGCTCGCAGATTTAATATGCCATGTGGACCAATTGAATTCCAGCGGAACCTCTGGCTTTAGAAGATAAAGATACACATACCGGACAAATTATAATCTAACTTGAATTTTGATGTGAGATAGAAAACATTGTGTAGCGTAGTAGCAGTATATAATAAGGGTGCAATGGTGGTGTTTGAATCTCTGAAGATGAAGATGACGAGATTAAGTGTTTCACGTAAAAATAAGATGATAATAACGTGTGATTAATTGAGTTTTAATTATTGCAAACTTGAAAAATGAATTAGTTCATATAGAAAGTTTTCACACGAAACGTACTGTTTAGTAGTTTGAAAAGCGTGACATGAATATCCAGAACTTAATCCACTTTTTTAAGTGGAAACGAACGGAGTATGCTGCAAGGCTGGTTGGGCTAGGCCGAAAAGGCCAGGTCGGTGTGTTCCTTGCAAAGCACCTATAAGACCATGTCCAGTGAAATTGACCCGCCAGGTCCATATTCACTACCACCCCACTCGGAACTCAGGCCACAAGCCCACAACACACAAAACTTGAGATGTCTATAATCTCATATCTCTACTCTACTCGGTACTCCAATTTTTACAACTTTCTGGCTGTGCTGTACAGCCAATCCGTTCGGTTGCACACGAACTAGTGCTCCCTACACTTGCTGGCTTCAACACCTATATAAGTTGTACTCCCTCCGTCCAAAAAAAAAAAAAACCCAATCCCAGACATACACTATATTCAGATTCAAACCCAGGATTGGGTTTTTTTTTTGGGACGGTGGGAGTAGCTACTGTTGACTAGTTGCAGTTGCTGGTTAGCTACAATGTGACAAGTATGTCTTCCCAACAAGACCATAAAAGGAGCTAACAGTGGTGGGCGTGAGTCCCCCTCTATCAGAGCAGGTACAATAGCAGGCTATAAGCCAACTACAAATATATTTTAAAGAGATAAATGAAAAGAGAGAAAAGCAGCGGGCTACAGATATGTAGCCAGCTACAGCACGGACTCCAAGACATAATTCGTGTATGACATGTGGGACCAGATATTAATAGTATAGTAAGCAACTATTGTATGAATTGGTTATTACATTGGCTAAAGATGATTTAGAGCTAGTAGTGAGCTATACTATTAAACTTGCTCTCACCTTCATGCCGACTCCACTATGTGAGGGAAACACTTGTTGCTCTTCAAATTTTAGAAAACACTCTCTTTTCCCAACCATCTTTCTCAATAATGCCACAGCTTATCACCGTCGTCGCCATTGCTTCTCCATTTTTCGCGGTTGATGCAGCCAACCCCTCGTCGTCGCCGTCGGCTGAGACCTCCATATATGGCATGCAACAGTCGCGCGCCTTACAGCATCTCCAGTAGTAGCCCCTACTTTAGAGTCCCCAAAGATTAAATGGGAGCTGCCCCCAATGCTTTAGGATCCTAAATATGTCTTTATGTCTAGCAGTAGCCTCCATATCTTAGCCCCTATTTCTTTTTTTCTTTTATTTTAGTATAGAATTTATATTTATATCCAGTTTAACACACAATAATTGAAACATAAATAATTCTAGCGCGTGGAATTCAACCATATTCAAATTTGCAATTTCAAACACCACAATTCAAATTTGAGTTCAAAAATTTCAAACATGAAAATGATATGTCCTACAAGCAAATATTGAACATAACCCAATACATGATAGAAAATGCAAAAATTGAACTACCGAGCACCATGAAGCGCCCACAAATGTTCCACAAGATCATCTCGAAGTTGCTCATGTACCTGCCGGTCTTCAATTTCTTTATGTATCTTTAGAAACTTCTCTAACACATGTTTATTACGTCGTTGCTATTCCTCCTTCCTCAACACCTCACTGTCCTCCTGATCTTAGTCAAAGTCTACATCTTCATCTCGCTCATTTTCAATGATCATGTTGTGCATAATTACACAAGCTGTCATTATGTACCATAGGGTCTCTGTATCCCAAAATCTAGCAGGGCCTCTGACCATTGCAAAGCGGGCTTGTAGAACACCAAATGTTCTTTCAACATCCTTTCTCACTCCTTCTTGAACTTTTGCATAATGTATTCTCTTATTACCTTGTGGATTGGAAATGGTCTTCACAAAAGTGGCCCGAGAAGGGTATATGCCATCAGCAAGATAGTAACCAATGGTGTATTTCTTTCCATTCACCATAAACTCCAACTCTGGAGCTGTCCCTGATGTAAGCCTTTGAAAGAGTGGTGATCTCTGTAGTACATTGATATCATTAAGAAAACCTGGTAGTCCAAAGAAGGAATGCCAAATCCACAAATCTTTAGATGCAACAGCTTCAAGAATCATGGTTGGCCCATCCACATGCCCTGAGTATTGTCCTTTCCAGCCTGTTGGGCAATTCTTCCACCTCCAATGCATACAGTCAATAGAACCTAGCATCCCTGGGAACCCCCTTGGAGTGTTTATAGCCAACAACCTTGCAGTGTGTAGGATCGAGATGTCGACTAGAGGGGGGATGAATAGGCGATTTAAAACTAAATAACACCTAATCAAATCTAACCTAAGTTGCTAGGCTTGGTGAGGGTGAACTCTAACTAAGCAACTAAATTATGTTTTGCAAACCTAGGGTGATAGTGGCTCAATTATATATCTAGGAAAGTAAATCACGCTCCTATGTCAATGTTTTGCAATCCTAGGGTGATATGATCTCAAGTGTGTCTCTAGAAATGTAAATTGCACAAATGTAAATGCGACAATCAAATGAGACAATGAGACAAGAGATTTTTCACCGAGGTTCGAGAACTCGCCGGTTTCCTACTCCCCGTTGAGGCAAGCCCAACTCCACCGCTCAACCACGAAGCCACCGCACGCCCCCTTCGTCAAGGGGTGGGCAAGGCGGGAGCCGGCCCACGGAGAGGACTACCCAAGCCTCGATCACTCGGGATAGTTCTTCCTTCACTCCGAAGGTGGTGAACTCCAAACCACTCACAAACCGGCGCCGGGCCTCCTCCACAATCTTCTCGGAGAGGTCACCGGGCAACTCCTCCACAAGCCGTCTAGGAGGCGGCAACCTCCAAGAGTAACAAGCAATGACCCGGTGTGGAGATGATCAAGTGCCACACTAGATCTACAATGGAAGCAAATGCACTTGACTCTTGGCTAAACAACCCTCTAACACACTAGATGGATGAACACAAAGCTCAAGTGAGTGTGAGAGAGGTGCAAGGAGTGTATGCAATTGAATTGGGTGCCAAGAGAGCCCCCTTGCTGCTGGTGGGGGAGTATTTATACTCCCACCCACCAAAACTAGCCGTTGGGGGCGAAATCCCCCAACTTTGTGCTCTACCGGTATGACCGGAGGTATGTGGCCGGTCAGACCGTGCTACTCTGCAACGGCTAGAAAACTAGCCGTTGTAGCCCTGTCAGAGGGCCCCATCGGCCTAGCCGGTCAGACCGGCATGGGGCGGCCGGTCAGACCGGCCTCGGCTCGGTCAGACCACCATCAGCTCGGTCTGACCGACTACGGCTCCGTCGGCTCCGTATCGGCCATCCCGAGCAGCATCATCTCGGCCTCCAGGGGGCCGGTCTGACCGGGAAAGTGCCGCCGGTCAGACCGCCACTATGTAGCTGGTCTAACCGGCCAGGGCACGCCGGTCAGACCGCCACTATGTGGCCAGTCTGACCGTCCCTGGTCAGGCCGAACCCAGTGAATTAGTGAATGTGTGTGAAATGAAAAAGAGAGCACAAATGAAAATGCAATGACCTAATGTGGAAATTAAAATCATCTCTTTGCTAGGTCATTACCCCTCTTAATAGTACGGCGAAACTAAAATTAAACTAGCAAATTTGATCGCCCTACACCTCGATCAATTCTAAATTAAAGCGCTAGTTTTACCGTCTTCTTTCCCTTTGCTTTGCACCGTCAATTTTAATCCATCGATAATCATCTATGCGCACATATGACGTGGACCTAACTTAAAAATGTATAACTCAAAGACAACGGTTAGTCCACAATTAGTGCTTGTCATTAATTACCAAAATTAACACCGGGGGCCTAGATGCTTCACAGTGTCCTCAGCAGTTGGTGCCCTCAATTACTGATCAGAAAACACATCTACCACAGCCTTGACAAAGTGCTTAAAAGCTTCTATCATGGTGCTCTCTGAAATCCTCACGACTTCATCAAGACTATCGGCTGGAATATCATATGCAAGCATGCGAATTGCACCATACACCTTCTGTAGTGCAGTAGCACCGAGAAGACCCATTGCATTCGGTCTCTGCCTGAAGTAGTCATCGTGAGCCTCCACACTAGCCACGATGCGCAAGAAGAGCTCCCTTGACATTCTGAACCTCCTCCTAAATAATTTTGCATTATATACAGGAGGATCTGCAAAATAATCAGCCACTATGCGCAAATTGCCAGCAAACCTGTCCCTATGAATTATCTCACGAGCTGGGACTGAACCACGACGCTTTCTTTTGGTCCTCTTATGCTCTATGTCCGTAAGAAGAGCAGCTACAATGTAGTAGTCATCATCGTCAGATAACTCCTCTTGATCCCACCATTCGGTAATGAGATTGTCGTCGTCGTCGTCGTCGTAGAAGTCCATGTAAAAAACACTGCCATCACAGGATCATAAAATTAATAAGAAAATTTAGAGCATATGCACACGTATCCAACAGAGTATACCCATATACACTATGCAACACTCAATCTATGAAAAGCAGTGATATCGTACTAGTACAATACCACATACTCCTGCATATATATTGTCACACCCCAATCTGATACCGCCGTACAACGGCACCTGACAGGAGCGTGTCGTAGGGAAAACGGCGTGAACCGTTTCCTACGAAACCGCGATCTCGGTACCAGTCCCAGGACATAGTGCTAGTTCCCACGGTGACAAATATGAATCATAGCAATCCTTAAAATAAATAGAGGACTTATTTACCTTAACTTAGGTTGCAGCTCAGAACAACCCGAGAATGCAACCGACGACACGGATGAGGAAACACCAACAACAGCAGCAGCAGCGGAACCAACGAACTAACACCCAACACCACAGGCGACGGCTGGGAACCAGGACGAAACCCTAATCTTCTCTTCACTTTATCTTCTCTTCAGGGCGGAGGAACTATATATATATATTTATATAGAGCAAGGGTGAGTACTTTCGTACTCAGCAAGTCACGGGAACTTAGGTGTTTGATGCAAGCTTGGAGGAGAGGCAAGGTTGTTTTACAAATCTTTTATTTGAAGGCATTTTGAAATCACTAAGTGATTTATTTCTTTCTAAGTTTGGGCCGAAGAGAGACTTGCATCTCAATTCGACTTTAAGAGATGCTTTTCAACAACTCAATTGGTAATGTACCGACCTCCCGGGTCAGATCATTACTTCTCGGCTCCCAGAGCCATTCCACTTGATTAATCGGCTCCCAGAGCCTTTTTCATTTTCTCGGACTCCCAGAGTCCAGCTGCCCAGCAGCACAACAATCCGCTTCCACTCGGGAAGCCTAGTCTATGATGCCCACAGACATCCCGAATCACACAGATTCGTTTCTGACCACTCAGGTCATCCATCTGCCACATAGGCTGATTCTGGTTACGATTCCCACACCACAACAACTTTTCACAAAGCACAGGCAAACAAATCTACGCAACGGGAACCACCTCACATCCGCCCATGACCGTGGGCACGGTTGTTCGAACAGTTAGTTAACCTCTGTAGAGGGGTACACTTTACCCACAAGACACGAACTTACTCCAGACACTGGCCGGTGTCAGAGGTTCGCGACAAAGCCTTTCCCAAGCCGACCCAGGGATACCTCATGCCACATAGAAGGATCAAATCCTCACATAATCATAGGCCATTTTAGGCGTTCACAAATCAAACTCCAACCACCTCGATCGGTAATTCAGCAAGCTTCTCGTTCTTGCATTACCAGGAACCCGGTTTGGCTCCAACCGACCCCGCCCCGGTGTTCCCAACTATTGGCATGCGAGGTTTCCCTGAACCGACTAGTTACTTAGCCAGGGTGTCCCATTCCACCTTGTGGTTGCACTTTGATTATGTTCGATGAGTTTCCCACAGGAATCGGTCCTTATATGCGAATACGGGACAGTGCCACATAGGCACAACCCCCGCATCGCGAGTTTTCACAATTCATTTTTATTTTCAAACACACCGACACCACATGTCGGGTTTTGAAGGCTTCACAAACCCATTTCCCAAGTTTTCGACAAACAACGGTGTATGTGGGATATTTGGTATACGCGCTCAGAGAGCACGAATACCGAGGTACCACAAGGGTGGAGCGACAAGGAAACAGGGTAGTACAACCTACGGAAATTAGTGCGACTACTGGGTAGGTCCGTCGGTTTGGCACGCAAACCGAGGCCAAGCAAGTTAAGTGTGTGATTCTAATAATGCAAGTTGCAAACAAAATAATAATGACTTTTCAATTATAGGGGCAATTGATCAAAGGGTGACTTGCCTTGCTCAAGGTCTTCACGAAGCTTCACGAATCTTCGAGAAAACACGCGATCGACGAAAATCCGATAACCGCAACTATACGCAAACAACTGAAAACCTAAACAAAAGACCAAAAGAAAGATCCTATTTAGACTAATTAGTAGTGCCATTAAATAGATCTCAATTTTATGGGAATATTGGAAGTTGAACGGAGTCAATCGGAGTTGCGAATTGGGTGATATGAATTTTGGAAGTTTAATTGGAGTTTCTGGAATAGGAGAAATGGTTTATGGAATTTATAGAAATAATATTCTCAAAAATATTATTGATAGTCACTGTCACGCGGGACCAAAGGAAATGGTTTGTGGAATTTTGGGAATAAGGAATTGATTTATGGGACAAAGGAAGGAAAAAAAAAAGGATTTATTAAATCCCTGAAAAAGAAAAGGGTGGAGGGATGTAATTTAGACTTCTTTGGGAGGCTCGGGTATGGCCCAAGGGATAAGCACGGCGCGGCCGAGCCATTGGGCCGGGCGCGGGCGCGAGGAGGCGGCCCAACAGAGGGGGCGCGGGGGAGAGAGAGACGGCCCGGTGGACCGATTCCACCGCGCGGGGTCCCGGGTGGGGCCCGCTTGTCGGTGGCACGGCCCACGGTGGGATGGGCGCACGCGAGGTGCGGCGCACGGGTTTCGGGTGCGCATGGCTTAGGAGCGGTGCACCGGTTGGACGGATGGCGGCGGGCCCACATGCAGCCGCACGGCTTTCCGTGGACTGCGCGCACGGGAGGGAAGACGGAGGGAGGGGACGGCTGACCGGCTTGGCCCGGTCAAAGCCGAGGTGGCGCCGACGTGGCGCCTACGTGGCAGCCACGCGGGCCGGCGGGAGGAGGAAGAAGGGGAGGCCGAGATGGACGGCGGACGGCGGCCGTGTTCACCGGAGCAAGCGCGACGGATTTGGTCTTCGGGGAGCACACCGGAGTGACGAGGGCGTCGAGAAGGAGCGAGCCAACGGCTCGGATTCGCCGGAGGGAGTTCGACGGCGGTGGAATTCGACAGTGGCGGCCGGCGGCGAGAGAAAGGGGAAATCACTGAGGGGCGACGAGGACTCAATTAAAGGCGGCGGAAGCATCTCCGGTGTTCAAGGAACTCATTTCCGGGGTCGGATGGGTCTGAGCGGCGCCGTGGAGGTCCGGCGACGAGAGGCGGCCTCCGGGGGTGGGCGGCAATGGCGGTGGGGCCACGCCGGGTGGCGGCGGTCCTTGGGGCGGCGTCTACGCGCGTTCGGCAGGGCTACCGAGCTACCACGCAAGCTAGCGGGGACGAGGGAGAGCGAGGAAGGGGAACGGGAGGAGGCACTACCGAGCCGGGCGGGCAGTGATGGGCAGTCGACGGCGCGGGGCGAGCTCTCCGGCCTTGGGCCGGGGAAGGGGAAGAAGAAGGGTGGCCGGAGTCCTCTTCGGCTCCTCGCGCACACGCCGGCTTCACCAGCACGCGCGACAGCGAAGGGAGGCGAGGTCGGCAGCTGCAAGGCGGCAACAAAGGCACGATGGCGGTGGAAGAGAGATGCCGAGAGAGAATAAGATAGGGAGGCTCGGCCCGGGCTTTATAGATGGAAAAGAGGCGGTTTGGGAGGGGGAACCGACATTGGCGGTCAAGGAGAGCGAGCTGGCGGTCATCGACGCGTGCAGCCAAGGCGGCGACAGGTGATGACGCCGGCGGTGTCGGGCAAAAGGAAAAAGGTGGGGGAACAGGGAGCTCTGCTGGTGTTCACGGGCGGCAGCGGCGGTTTCGTGGGCAGTGCGAAGGCGGCGACGGTGTGGATGCGTTGGGCGGCGAAGGCGGTGGATCGAGCGTCGGAAAATCGAACCGCGGGAGCGGGAGGATTAGCGCGGGCTGGCGCGGTCAAGGTGGGGGTGGCGAGCCGGCGCTGGCGTCTGCGTCTCTGCCTCCGAGCGCTAGCGGCCAAGGAGTGGAGGCATGGCGTCGTTGCTTGGGAGGGAAAAAGAGAAGGGAGGACGGTGGAAAGGGGGGGCTTTACCATGCCGGTTTGGGAAAAAGGAGGTGGGAGAGGGAGAGGAGAGCGCGTGAGGCAGAGAGACGCGCTGCCTCCACGTCTTGGACGCACGCGCGCACAGGGTGGGGGCGAGCGGCAGGGCGGCATGGGCGGCTGTGCGGCGCAGGCGGCCAGGGCTGATGCGGCGGCGACCGGGCGGTCTGCCACGCGCGGGCGAGCGCGGGAAAGAGCGAAGGCGGTGGCGGGTTTTGGGCGGCGACGGCGGGAATCGGCGCCGGGAGGGGATAGAGCAGAGAGAGAGCGAAGACGGGAGAGAGAAAGAATCGAGAGAGCGAGAGAGCTCTCTCTCGGCTCGCATGCGTGCAACGCACGTGCGAGGGGGGGTAAGATGATGGGCTGGGAGGGGAGATGAGCCGGGGGAGGGAAATCGGTCCATCCAAAAATACAGGGAGGTAAAGTAGACTTTTACAGAGAAAACTGATTTGGATAGAATTGGAGAGATTTTAGGGTTTGGACTCAAATTCAAATTTGATATTCGAACTCGAGGGTTTAGGGATGTATCAAGGGGGATTCAAGGAGAAGTCATGGAAAGGATTCAAAAGGAATACTTGGGTATTTGTTTTCGGGAACATAGGGTGGAGTCAAGGAAAGGATTCGAGGCGGGATCTGAATAGTTCTGGATTCGTAGAAGTATTTGGCGAGGATTTAGAGGAAGGATTTGAATTTCAGAACTTGATTTCAGAGACTCGAATCGGAAGAGAAATTTGAGGTGGAGGATTTTGATTTCGATGAGAGGGATCAACGGGATTTGAAATGAGATCTTGGCACGACTTAGACTCGCACACAAAGAACGAAAATTTTCGAAATTAGGATTTTACCGAATTAGTTTTTTAACGCCTCACGAAAAGCGGAGCGTTACATATATGTATATGGTTCTAATCGATCCATTGCAACAATTGTACAGTGCTACACAATGCAGTGCTACTATAAGTACAGTGATATCTACTAGTTGATAAAATTAGATTCTCCTGGCTGACAGTCCACTGCAATTCTCAAAAAAAAATTAAAAACAAATCAGTCTCCACCAGACGAGAACCATCTAGCACCACATGCATGTCCAA